CCCACCCCAGAGCAGACATGTTGGCCTGACATGGAGGTAGGAAGCCAAGAGGATCTCTCATTCTCTCTTCTCTTTCCATGACTTCTCATAACTTTTTAGCTCCCTCAGTCCTCCAACGTTCCTCTTTTTCTTCCACTAAGAGGGATCTGTCCTATATCTCTGGGTCTCCTCCTATATCTCTGCCTGTGCATCCCCCCAGTAGGTGCCCTCCCTCCCTCCATCATAAACTCAGCTTCTCAAAGTCTAATCTTTTCTCTCTGTCTTCTGCCTCCTTGTCTGTGGACCTCTCTGCTAGTCTTGACTCACAACCCTCTCTCCCTCCTCCCCTGTCAAGATCTCCAGGAGCCTGACTCCCGTCCTTGTCTCTCCTGTTCCCAACAGTCGCAGTCTCCTGTTTCCAGAATACGCCCCTCCCCTACCAACCATATCATTCAACTGGGAGTCCAAGCCCTGGAATTTCCAAATTGTGTTGGCCTTCTTTTTTTACTTTTTATCTTATCTTGCCATACATGCACAATGATTACTTATCAAATGTAACTTTAATGCATGGGTTGTAAGCGCCCCTGAATAAGGGCTTCCGCTGAGCAGATTAATTATTAATAATGATGATAATAAAAGGAGCTGTTTTTAAGACAGAGATAATGAAAGGATGATCAAGACAAAGAATTGTAAACTGCCCATCCTAGGCTGTAAAAACCCAGCCTTTTTATTAATGATTGGGTATTATAGACCAATGAATTACTCAGTCTTTTGATCTCTTTCGTTTTACATTGCCTTTCTTCCTACTTCATGAAGAAAGAATATTTTGTGGGCATTATATACTGAACCTTTAGCTATTTGGTTTTAAACCTAACAGTTAATCCTGGTAGATCTGTAATATGTGGTGCAAAAAGTAGCCTTTTATATGTATGGGCATTTACAGAGGATGAAATTACATCAATGACTAGGAGCCCTTGAGAAAAGACCATTATATTATTATTGAATTAGAAAATTCAACTATAACACCTCTTATTAGCTGCTCAGTTTACCTCAAGTTGCTGTGCTGAGTGTTTATGATTCTGGTCAATGATTATGAAAGATTGCAAAATGTCAAGCTTGGATTCTTCTCACCAAACTACTATTATTGTTATTATTATATAAACTATTATGTATTAATAAGAGTCAAAGCTATTGTAATGGTAGAAAATAATAGTCTATGAATGAAGTCTATGAGTAAAAATATTGACACTAATAGCATACATACATGGAGCAGCAGTAAAAACACAACACTTCTGTTGCATTTTAGGGCCTCTCAGTATGCACCGTAGCTATGTGCCTCCGATGTCTGAGACATTCGCACAGCTGTATTTGAAATATAACTTCAGACTTGCGGGAAGTAAATAAATGTTGTCACAAGTGAATGAAGTTTCAACATTCTGAAGTGGGCCAAGTGTAACCTGTTTTTTTCAGACAATGTTCTTTTAAGCTAGTGGAGCTACTCCCCATTTTAATAAACCATCAGTGACACTATTGCTCTTTACTCAGAGCATTGTTTTCCACAAGGAAACTTTCCTTCCTATTCTATTGCTTGAAGCACAAACACAACTGGTTAAACAACCTCACACATGTAACAAAATTGACAAAAAGAAGTAAAATACATAATTCAGTACTTGAAAAAAGCTAGAAGTGTAGTATCCCACATACATTTGCCTACACGTTTTTAAGACAAATACCTTATTTTGCTTAGGTATACAGAGAAAGAAACTGATTAGGATGTAATCTACCTTGCTTTATTGCACATACAGTGTGGTCTACATGATGTTGAATCTGTTAACTCAAACATTGTTTTTTTAAGGCCGACAAAGATTATTTGAAATGCTGAAAACCTGTAGCAACAAAGGGGGAATGAAGAGTGTGCTTTAGAAATGCTTCATTCATGCAGTAGGTATCTACAGTGATGTAAGCTGAAACTCTTGACTGCCTTTACTGCAATCCAGTCAGAGGGAGTAAGTTCAACATGCATGACCTCGTGGCACCCTGAGAAAACCCGGTCTCTCAAGAGATAGCCATTTCTGTTTGCTTAAAGGAAACAGGACTGTTCTGCATTGTGTGTCCCGGGCAGTTGCACACTGCACTGCAGCGAGCTTCTCCTCGGAAATCCAGCCCAGGTTTTTGTTCCTGCCTTCCTTGAGAGTGGTTGAGCCATGTTTGCTGTACCTGCAGAGCAGTTAGTCAGCCAGTGCGGAGGGGGGGGTGGTGTGTGTGGTGTGGGCGCTCAGAGGAGGGGTATCCTGGGTGTGGGGTGTGCGGTGCAGCAGACAGGGATGTAGCCGTAGGCTGTACAGGAACATTCCATGGTCAGCCGCACCCTGAAGGCCCCGCCTCCTACCTGTGCAGTTGCTAAGTCAGTTAAAAACAAACCCTATAGCTGCTGAAACACACCCCACCAGACAGGCACCTTGAGCTGGCCACAGCTTAACTCTCTCAGCGCCACACACTGCAGGGGCCAAGATCATTTTTAACACACCTTAGCTGCAGGACTTTCTGAAAAGTTGTCTTAAAACAAATCCGGACTTATGCATGCACGTACTGTTTATGTGCAAAGCCTTGCCATATTAAACTGAGCACCACTGAGCACTATGGCACTTTGGCAAAACACCAAGCAAAAAAACGAGCAAGCACAAACACATCTATTTCTGCTAGCTTGTAGCTAAAGTAGCATGCAAATAGGCCTCATGTCGAAATAATTTAGAATAAACACAGTGCCTCTGTGTGGAAATTGTGTTAATTTTGAATAATTTCATTATTTGCCGCTGACGGGGAAGAGGGTTAATTCTATATGGCCTCTATACGTACATGAAAAAATATAATGGAAAACAATACAGGCTGATATCATCTAATAAGGGACTATCATGTTGCAGACTCTTGGTTGATGAGAGCACAACTCCATCATCAGTCTTTATTGCTCCTGCAGCGTTGCAGTAGTGGGTTGTAATAATACATCTATAATAGCCAACATGAGCTGCATGAGTCAGAGCTGCCTATTGGCTTGTGTCACTGCAGGTAATGAAGTGAGGCAGGGTGGAGCCCAGGCTGGGACAGCAGTCCTGCTTCTTTGTTACAGGAAATTCAGAGTTCACTGCATAGCACAGCGGGATTGACTGGCTTTTATATAATATCTTATATTCATATATAATATATTCTATTATTATATATGACATATTATGTTTAATTTCTGAATGATCCACTGGGACACCACTCCTGGAGCTGGGCCTGGGGGTGGTGTTTGCTGGTCTCAGCCCGGTGACGTGGACACGTTGTGGGGGTAACATTTTTACTCGCCACCCTCAAGTCGATGGCAGCTGGGTGACAGCCATGAGCAGCACAGATCTAGATGGACTAGGATATTTTCCAGTGTCAAATCTGTGACTAATTCCCGTCTCTTATTTTGGGCAAGAGTGGATAAGCAGTTGTAGACGTGTGCGATAAAAGGAAAGGGCAGATTTCTCACAGAGTACTGCGCTTGGCCCGATCACTGCTGCCTGGAAATTTACTCTTCCTACCAAATATCTCCTTTTGCTTTGTAATGCTCTAATGTAACCTATCCCTTTTATGACCACAGTAAACCCACATGAGGTATAAGACGGTAATTCTATGGAATACGGTAGTAAAAGTAATTATTAACTTAAACTACAATTTTTCCTTGCTAAACACATACAGTGTACTGCAGTTGTGAAAAGGCTTCCTGTGCTTCCTGTTGCAGTAGTGGGTTGTAATAATACATCTATGATACAAAATGCATTAATCCAGATCTAAAACTGGTGCCATGAATTAATATGGTGACAAGGGGAGTCTCTGGAGGTGGAAATATTGACAGCGTGTTCGAGCAGCTTAACAGAACCTAAAGGGGCAGAATGGGGAAGTAGCCAACAGGAGCTGCATGAGTCAGAGCTGCCTATTGGCTTTTGTCACTGCAGGTAATGAAGTGAGGCAGGGTGGAGCCCAGGCTGGGACAGCAGTCCTGCTTCTTTGTTACACGAAAATTCAGAGTTCACTGCATAGCACAGCAGGATTGACTGGCTTTTCCCATGAAGTGGGGTGAGGTGGTTCGGGCATCTCTGTTTTCTGTTGTTTGAGGCATCTACTGTGTCACCAGACCAGAAATCATTTGTGCAGAGGGCATCCTTAAAGAAACTCTAAAATGCGCAGGGTCTTGCTCATAGGTCCAAAACTATCCAATTTACGTGTTTGGAACCGAATGAAGGTGTGACAATAGAACCGTTTTGGTGGGACACCACTCCTGGAGCTGGGCCTGGGGGTGGTGTTTGCTGGTCTCAGCCCGGTGACGTGGACTCGTTGTGGGGCCAACATTTTTACTCGCCACCCCCAAGATGAAGGGTGTGGGGTGCGATGGCAGCTGGGTGACATCCCCTTTTATGACCATAGTAAACCCACATGAGGTATAAGATGGTAATTCTATAGAATACGGTAGTAATAATAATTATTAACTGAAAACTACTATTTTTTCTTGCTAAACATATTCAGTATACTGTAGTTGTGAACAGGCTTCCTGTGCTTCAAAGCTGAACTTGTGAAACCCAGTCTGCAACGCCAGGCACACTCGGAGGCTCCTGTCTAGTTTAACCTCAGCAGTCAGTGTGTACACCCCGCACTGCTTGTCGAGCTTGATTAGCAGCCGGAATTGTAGTCTCTTAATTGTCTCTCAGTCATTTCAGCAAATAATCGCACTTCATCACTGCACTGGGTTCAGGAATCCAATATGAACCCTGTATGTAGAACAAAATAACGAGCTGGCTTTTTTGTATGTGACGGATGTGCATGTCTAATGTTCAAGGCGCGTCAGGAAGGATCTGTTTAATAACGACTTCAAAGGAAGATAAGGTGCTTTTGGTATACGAAATTTGTGTATATTCCTTTAATACTCTGATTCAGACAGTTCTGGCGCTGATACCGTCTATAATCTCACACAGGCAAAACGAGACTTGCCCTGGCTGCTGTGGAACGAGATTTTTCATCGTGAATCCGGTACAAATTGCGAATCCAGTGCCGCAATGAAAAAGTGAAGAAACAGCTGGAACATGGCCTGCCACAGTGACAGTACGAGCGGTCTTGAGCACCACTGTGGTTGTGGTGGTCACTTTGTGAAATATATGCACTGCGTCACCTTTCCCCCCACAAAACTTGCTTTTACTGTAACAGCTGATGTGTAGCACTCCGGCTCGCCTTGGAAATGAGAGCTGCAGTCGGCGGGGAGGGGTTGCCCGAGGAATCCCCGGCAGCCAGGCCGCAGTGCCTTATCTCCGGGCGCTCTCGCTTTCCACAGTGCACTCTGGGCGGACAGCAGAAACGCAAACAGGTTCTGCCGGAGTTTGTCTCCGACTCGCAGCTCAACTGCGTGGGTGGAGTCTCAGTCGGAATTAGGAATGTAGCTCGGCACAGCCGACCAAGGGAGAGTAAAGGGTAAGGACGAAAAGGAAAGAAGAACAGGAAAATAACAGAGAAATTCATACAGAAGGAAAAGCAAGAGGAACATACCTGGAAAGGTGAGAGTGAACCAACTTCGCAATGGGATTTTTTTGTGTGTGCTTTCGGACTGGACAAAACTACAGATGAAGAGTAAGGACGAAAGACATCGATCCCTATGTTAAAAGGCTTGTCTTAAAAGTCTTGCTCTGTTATAACTTGTTCAGTAACTTCATGAATTCTGAAATGGGATAAGGCAGATTTTCGATGGGTTGGCTGCGTGTTCCGTAACACCTAGTTTAGTGTGTAGTGTAGAAGTTTCCTCAGGTGCGATGAGACGATTGTTCAAAGATTGCCTTGTGCACTGTGAGAGGTGCTTTATAAACAGCCATCCCTATTTGGTCATTTATAAGGTGTTTTCATATTTCATACATGGAATTGTGGGGTATTCTATCAGTAAAAGAAAGAAAACCTTAGGATAACTTCGGGAGTTAGCAGTCTCCTGACATTTTTCTCAACGTGCGAACTACGCTCCTGGCAGTCTATATAGATACTTTGGAGTAACACTTAAATGAGGGTGGTTAGGAGCCGCTGGCAGGGTCGCTAGGTGTGCAGAGTTCACTTTTCGCTAATGGTATTATCGGCCCTGGAGATTTTTAGACTGTACAAGGTGAGGGTGTACAGGGGACGCTGCCTGTTACCTCATACCTGTGCGCCCAGCCCCGCGGGCCGCGGAGTGTGGACTCGCCATGGCGCTCGCGCCTTCCCCGTGCGCTTGCAGGATCCTACCGACGCGACGTCAAACCGTGTAAGGTCTCCCAGAGGAGTATCATCGAGATTGGGCACAAGTTCACATCTCAGCCAAGGAATTATTTATTCCCCCCATCACCTACCCTCAAATATTGTGCCTTAAATGAAGAAATGCCTTTCAGAGTGGTAACACATTATGTTTATCCTGTAGTTGAACCATGGGTTATATTAGGCTGTTTAGTTTGACAAATTAGGACCTAAAAATCTTTTGGGAATCAAATCCAGATTTGGCCTTTTCTGGGGGAAATCGTGATGTTGACTGAGGTGTGATTAAAGACTTGAATTGTAATAATAAAACTTGATAATAGGTGTTAACTGTCTAGCTGTGTTCGATGGGTCTGTAATTGTTTTTGGTACATATTACAATTCCCAGTGAACAAATATATACAGCAAAAATGATCAAAAAGCTTTCCCTGTTCTAACAGGATGTTTAAATTTTTCAAATATGATGAAAAGATAAGGAAATATCTTGCTTCATGTTACAAAGTATATTAATAGATTGAATGCTGTTTGTGCTTTGCTTCGCAATGTTATGTTAAGGACTCGTACTGTATTCATTCTAGTCTGTAAAAATACAGTAGTGTAAAATTGATTTCAAGGAAAAATTTGAATAAAATGTTCCATTTCTCCTGATACTATCAGTATATAGTCAGTATCAGTATATTCTGCAATTTCCCTCACGGGATCAATAAAGTATCTATATGAATGCTGTCCTGTAAGTACGAAGTGAGGCCTTTACTTCCTTGTGCATCGTTTTAATATTTCACCAGAAAAGATCACTCTAGAGGTGTGAGAAATAGCACAGCAAGAAGCAGCAATGGAATTTTTCATTCTGGATAAGGACACCTAGAAAGCAAATCTTTTCAGGCCTTTTCCCTTTTTTAAATGGTAAGAGTGTATGCTCAGACACATGCGAAGCAATCACAAATTAATGTCTGTAGTTTCTTTGGATTTGGTTACCCAGATATGTAAAACATAAGAGTGGATAAAAACATGGTTCAAGATGTTTCACTCCCAAGTCAAACGTCCTGAATGCAGGCCTGGCCTGACCTAAAACTGAAATTAAGTGCAAATCTGAGAGTTCATATAGCCATGGAAAAGCGAAATAGATTTTTGTTTTCATTTAAGCTATGTTCTGGAAAGCCCATTGTAATTTTATGGGGATTTTTGAAATAAAAACAGCCTGTATGTTAGAGGATCTGTAGAGAGCCTCTTTAAACGTGGGCCTTGCTGTATTGCTACTGTACAGTATGTTGCGTCGCCTGATATCTTTTGAGATTTGTAAGAGGCGTCTCCTCTGTGCCCCTAACCAAGGTTGTCTCCAGCTTCAGTGTAAACATGAATTTGAATATATACTGAGCTCATTCTGGACCCAAGCTCTCGAGCGTACAGTTTGCCACTTTTGGAAACAATTCTGTCTGCATGCAGTGAGATAAACATCGATCAAAGTACTGCAAGCAGGAAGAAGAGGGGTTTTCTCGAAGTGCACGAGTCCCCACAGCAGCATTTACTATTAAACTGTTGCTGCATGAATCCTACCCTTAGGTTTATTATTGTTTACTTATCTGCTCTTAATGTCCTCTAGGATTCTTTGTTTCATTCTGCTGCATCGTAGACAGCACAATACTCGGTTGTGTGACTTCAAGGCTTTAAATCCGGGGTTTTCTCTGTGTTTCAGTTGTTGTATTTTAACCAGCTTTTCACTGAGTGGGGGAAGAGTTCATGAGCAGGGCGTGCGGCTGCTCATGGCTGAACTGTTTTGTGGAAGTGTGCGTCCATCCACATTTTGGGTACACGTGCTTTGTTTTGTGCCTTAGTTATTCAAATTGTCATTTTAGACCTCCTCCCAGGGTAAACAATGAAATGAAATGGAAGATTTGCTGCAGGAATTTGAATTTGCGTGATTCATCGGTGCTTGCGTTGAAATGAAGAAATAAGAGGTAAACCTCTGCTTTCATCCAGCAGCCTCCTGGCTGGTCTGAATCAAGTTTTTATTTTTCCCCGATTGGATTTGTTATTTTAATTAGGTCATGTATTTGGGATAACCCAGTTCCAAATACACAGGGATAATACGTGCATTAGCTCTTGCCAGTGAATTGCTTTCCGGGTTCTTGGATTCCTGGACACAGAAAGTGATTTGTTGGGGCGTGTCTTTATTCTGAAGGGCAGCAGCAGTTAGAAGGGGTAGTGACTTCTTGCTGAGTCGGCCAGTACTCGAGTGCTTGAGGGGAATGGCTGGTGCCCTTCAGTTGCAAGTTGCAAGATGGAAGTTCTTTGCACTTGCCTGTGTCTGCATGTGTCAGAGGAACGGTTCGCCTAGGGACTGTTTGAGGTTTTTGTCTGTCCCTGATGTGCTGGTGTGTGTTGGTGCCTGTTGTGCCTGCAGCGAAGAGTCAGGGGACAGATGACCCAGGGGAATTATCCTGGACACTGGGAGACGGCGCTCACTTCCTAGTAGGAAGGAATAGGATCTTAGCTATGTGTTAAATGTGTGCAGTATGTATATCTCAACCACGAACATTATTGCAAAAAGACAGGGTTGCCAGTTTTTCCAGTTCCTTCTTCTGAACTAATTTCCAATTCCAATTCCTGTTTTTCCATTTGCACAATGGGAACTGGTTTGAAGGAGAGAAATAAAAACTGGGTTCATCTTCAGCCCCCCCCCCCCAAAAAAAAAACAACCCTGCACTTTTAATCCACTTGGATGTGGTTAATTCTAAACATACAGTACAGTGTTAACTAATTTGGCTCAAATTAAAAGTAGCTGTTACATTGAGGCAAATTGTATTTGCTGAGAGCTCCACTGAACCTTGATTAAATTAAATATTTCACTGCATGTCTATGAAAGTTAGCATATTGTAGCAGGAGCCCAGGGGGAAAATGGATTGTTAGTGCTGCACGTCAGGCTGTGTGAGAGGTGTGCCAGTTGATTTGAGAAAAGAAGAGCCCTGAAGGGTCTGACCCTTTTGTGATGGCAGTGAGATATTTCCCCAAGGAGACCAGGGTTCGATAACCAGCATTGTTTTATCATTTATGGAGAACCCAGCTGCCACCTGCCACCTTTGCGGCTCTGCTTGCAACCATGAAACCCGCAACCGCACACGGGGGAGTGAGGAAGCCGCAGAGTGTTTCTCTCGCAGCGAAACAGGCCAGCGTGATCCGGCCCCAGGCAGGCGATTGTCTGTCCTGCACCTACAAAGACTGAGCGTCTCCTTTCTGGAATAGTACCCAAGCGGAGTGTAGGAGGAGTTCAGAATAAAAATTCCATTTAAAAGCCCAGGCATGCTGATTATCCGAGAGCTGCTGAAGGAAAAGCAGCAGATCCCTGCTGCTGATCTTGGAAGTCTGGAAGATCAAGATCTCTTTGCAGATCGTCTGAGCTGTTCGCCCAGAGTTTGGCTGCAGTGGAAGACTGGGCCCCAAGTGTCATTGGTGGGATGTGTTGACAGCTCTGTCTCTCCAGGTGCAGTGGGGTCAGAGGTGAAGAGAATCAGAAGGACTTGGTGACCTGCGATTTGAGGGTGACAAGTGTGTTGTTTTGTAGGCAAGTGGCGGAACCGAGTTTGTGGTCTCGGTGATTGGTAGCTGCTTTTCTACATGGTTAGGGGTGTGAGCAGTGAGAAAAGAAGTAAGGATTCTACCAGCTGAAGAAGGAAGCCTTCTAGATGTAGCTGAAAAAAGTTAATGCAGTTTATATTTTGGGTCCAGCACTGTAAATTTTCACTGTAGTTTTGTTGTGAGTTTTTCTCTCTTTGTGGCCTGGAAGGATATTGGTGGTATTCTACAAGAGAAATGGGTGAACCTCTAGTACCTGTTCTTCTGGTTAATATATTCAAGATGGTGGATATTAAGTACAGCTTTCACACTTTGCTTTGAAACCTGGATTTAAAAAGCTTTGCTCAAACCTGGATTAGTGCAGGGTCAGGGTGCGCTCCGTTTCATGGGTAAAACGGAGGCAAAATACGTTTTTTGTTCAGGTTTTGACTCTTCGGGTCCTGATTGATTCGTGATCCCCTGCAGGTAGCAAGTGAGACAGACAGGGCTCTCCCAGTAGCGACCCTGCGTTCGTACCTCAACAGTCGCTGCACAGACACCGGGTACGTCAGGGTGGAGGGGAACAGTGAAACAAAGGGTTCCCACTGCAGCGCTCGGGACTGTCCCGGCCTTGCGAAGGTGCCCTGCACCCTCTGAAGACAGATCTTTCAGTGCAGACCCAGAGCTCCTTCTGCAGTCTGTCTGCATCCAGGTAGAGAGTGGTATTGAGGAACAG